CCAAAGCGGTGGCAAATTTCCTTGAATACCCTCGGGTGAAGGCGCCATTCCGAGTGATCCACTGTCGCTCTGCTCAATAAGTCGGCCTGAGTGTTCTCCTTCCCCGAGATATGGTCGGCTTTGATGGAAGCCAAATTGTGTTCTGCCCAAGATCCCAGTAACAGTGACTCGGTCAACAGAGCTCGGGATCGGGTGCCCCCCTGCCTGTTCACATGAGCCTTGGCAGTCATGTTGTCCGTGAGGACTAGCACGTGTCGCCGCCTTACCAGACTGTGAAAATGCCGGAGAGCTAGATGTATGGCCTGTAGCTCCAGCCAGTTTATGTCGTGTCGAAGGTCCGAGTGGGACCAACGACCCTGTGTCCACTGAGATCGAAGGTGTGCACCCCAGCCAAACAGGTTGGCGTCGGTCATCAGCAGAATTCGATCCGATTCCTTGAACAACGACCCTTTGAGGATAGCTGGAGACAGCCACCACGTGAGGGATCGCGATACCTGAAGTGGGAGTCTCACTCTTTGATGGGAGGCACTGAGGTTCCGCCTCTGAAAAGGGAGTAGGAACCACTGCAGCTCCCTGGAGTGGAGACTGGCCCACGGGACAATTGCTATGGCCGATATCATCTGCCCTAACAATTTGGATAGGTTGAGTAAAGATACTGTCTGTCCCTTGCGTACTTGGAGGACTAATTCTCTCAGGTTGTCCCGGCGTTCCTGAGATAGATACACCCTGCACTCCAACGTGTCTATGATGGCCCCCAGGTGTAACAGCCTTGTTGTGGGGACCATGTGACTCTTGGGGAAGTTTACCGAGAACCCGTGGTCCTGGAGCAGCTTTATTACTCGTTTTAGATCTATCTTGGCGGACTGGATGGAAGATGACTGGATCAGGATGTCGTCCAGGTAACATTGGACCCTGACCGGAACCATCCTTAAGTGAGCTGCCAGGACCGCCAGGATCTTGGTAAACACCCTGGGAGCCGATGAGAGGCCAAAGGGCAAAGCCCTGTACTGGTAGTGCCGACCTTTGTAAGCGAACCGTAAGAACCTTCGGTGGGCGAGAGAGATGGGGATATGGAGGTATGCTTCCGTGAGGTCGATGGACGTCAGGAAGTCCCCTTTTCTTACGCTTCCTAAGATGGAGTGGAGCATTTGCATCTTGAACTTGCGGTAAACAAGATGGTAATTCAAGCCGTTGAGATCCAAGATGGCTCTCCATCCCCCCGACGTCTTGGGAACGACAAAGAGGATGGAATAAAATCCCCGACCTCTCTGGTCCACTGGAACCGGTTCTATGGCCCGTATGTCCAGAAGGTGTTGGACGGCTTCGCCCATCAGCTTTCTTCTTGTGTGATTTCGGGGGCAAGGGCAAGAAATAAATCGATTTGGGGGATCGGAGATGAACTCCAGGTAGAGGCCGTAGCGTATGGTGTTGAGGACCCATGAGTCCGTGGTGGTCACCTCCCACTGGTGGGCAAATAAAGAGAGTCTGCCCCTTATGGGAAGAACCGTCAGGGAGTCATCTGGAGTGACGGAATGGACGGCCGCTCCCCCGAAAGGGCCGCTTACCCTGAAATTGTTGCCTGGGCTTAACCACCTGCCTGTCATACTGTTTCTCCTGTCTGGCCGGGAAGGGGCGGAAAGGCTGGGTGTAGTTATATCTAGCCCCAGGCCGAAAGGACTGTCTACGGGGAAAATAATTTTGGCGTTTTTCAGATTTCTTAATGTGATTGAGGACCTTGCGCTTGCCCTTATTCTCCATTAAATAAGGAGTCAGAGCTTCTCCAAACAGCTTACCTCCTTGGTACAGGGCCGCTGACAGACGCCACTTAGACTTGGCATCAGCGTGCCAGTGTTTGAGCCAAAGCATACGGCGTCCAGTGATGCTGGATGCCATAGCCTTGGAAGTAAACCTGGTGGCTTGGAGAGTGGCATCCGATGCATATTCGATGGCTGCGACCATCTTGCTGAGGTCCTGGTGGGAGCGGACATCGTCCACTGGGGTCCGTGCTTGGAGCTGCTTGAGCCATCAATGAGCAGACCTATTAAAGAAGGATGTGGAGGTGGCCGCCGTGATTACCCATGCAGTTGCCTGGTGAGTTTTCCTGAATGCGAGCTCACACGGTCCTCCGCCTTGAGGGCCTCAGATACGTCTCCGGCTATAGCCGTGGGAGAAATTAAAGGACCGAAGGGTTCATCCACTGCGGGCACCTCAAGTGCCTCTTCCAAATCTTTGGCTACATTATAGAGCTTCTTATCAGTAGCACTTGGAAGGGCCGTTTGTAGCGTGCGCGCGCGCCTCGGTCGGATTCAGAGGCCTCGCTACGAGCCTCAAAGGAAGCTGAAGAAAGCAAAAAAATGGCCGTTTTTCAGTTCTCCGATCAGCCGTGAAGACGCTGTTCAGAGGGCCGTGAGCGCGCCTCGTGAGTCTTTTGGCGCCCGAGGGCTGTCGAATTTAAAGTATTTCCCCTCTGAAAAATTCCCTGGGGTCTAACAGCCGTTAGACCACGGAACTCAGTCGCCTTGTTTTAAGGCTCCTGGGAGGAGGGGAGAGAGAAGGGACCCCCTTCTATCTCCCTTTAATTCTTCCCCCCCCCCACTACAGAGCTGTAAAAGGTGACTGAGACTCTGAAAAATTTTATAAGGGAAAGCCGAATCTGATAATTTGATAAAGGGAAAAACCGAATTAATGTCAGAAGAATAGAATAAAAGAAGGGTGAGATGGAAGATCCACTAATAGTAGACTGTCCCTAAGAGCCAGAGTTGTACGTTCTGTCCATGGGCAAGATTAAGTCAAGACTGGGATCTGTGCTCCTGGACGGGGTGTGGCAACTCTGACTGACTTGATCTGATTGGGCAGGAATACAGTCTAAACCCATTCTATGGATCCTCCATCTCCAGTGCTGGAGAACTGACCTGTTTCCCCTTCTGAAGACCAGACACTTGGAGCAGCAGAAATTGAAGGAGCGTGTTGAGGGCTAAAGACCGATGCCTCCATGGGAACAGGAATAACCTGACCAACCCTTGCATTGTCCTTTTGTTTTGCAACTTTGGAGAATTGTTTCTCCAATGCCTGGTGCCTCCTGCTTGCTTCTTTTTCAGCAGCTTTAGAGGACCTTTTGTCAGAGATGGCTCTGGATCTGAGTTTCCCAGCAGCCTTCTGTTTGGCTGATCCGGATTTCTTGTGCCTGGGAGAACTGCTGGAGGCACCTTGAGATGTCTGATCTGTAACTTTTATCTGCCATTGTAAATGAGAGATATCACAGTAATGGAAATCTGAATGTATTTGTAACAGAGAGGTGATCCCAGCAGCAAGGAGCCAAGTTGTGCCTAAGGTGGTGGTGGCGGCTCAACCAACTTAATGGGATAGCCAGCGCACTCACAATCCTGATAGTGGCAGCCACGCCCCGAGCGTTTAGAAGTTGCTTGGACTGATCGAGCACGTCCGTAATGGCTGGGATGCTGGAGGCTGATGCTGTAGCCTGATTGCAATGCAGCTAGCTGCTGAGGAGCCTGAATCGATAAGCAGCACTCTCTAAATGCCGCTCTTAAATCCTGACTTTCAGTAAGTTGCTTTCAAAATGGCGGCCGCTATGAAACGAGCTCCTGCTCCGTCTGTGTGACCGAATTAGTAAATGCGGCCGCAGCTTCAATGTTCAGGCTAACAAGACCGCTGGCTGAAATTTGGCCGAATCAATCCTATTTAAGGCTAAATGGCCCTGCTGGAAGGGAGGGTTCCCCCCCAACCCAGGAACAGCAAGGACGGTGCTCAAAGTGGCGCCTGCAATACCTCTGTCTGCTTGGGAACTATTAAGAGCTCGAGGCTTCAGCCGAAGCGTGTAAAACAGTTTAAAACGGAGTGCTGAAATCAGCACAGGGAAGGGAAGGGAAAGGTACAACCTGAGAATCCAATGTGTAGTCTTTCTGCTAAAACCTAGAGCCAACCTTCACCACGTCTCTTGGGCTAAGACTAAGTCGTGACTGGTGATTCCTAGCCGGAAGGAGAGAGGCATGGCAAAGGTTGATTGACTTAGTCTCTAGGGCAGAAAGGCAAGATCAACCCATTTGTGGATTCTCCATTCGTCATGCTGGAGAACCACACATTGTAAAGAATATGTTGTGAATGTTAATATCTGCTTCTAAACTTTTAGAATTCAGTGAATTTAGACTGGAAGATAGATGAAGGATTAATAAAGTAATTGGTCTAATTAAACTTATTCAAAACTTTCTCTTAAAATTCTGCTAGAAAGAAATGGAGTTAGGAATGTTGAAGAAAATAAATACATTTTCAGAGTTGTAATATATTTCACACAAACTATTAATCTTGGAAGTTGCTTAAATGTTTATATATCTGTAGCTTCGCTTTGGCTTGCCTGTATCTTTTTGTTGGTGGTGTTTCCAGCAGGAAAGTGACTTACCAACATTGTTTACTTTCTTGCTATTCACATGGGAGAAATAAAGCTACTGGTCTTCTAGTGCTGCCTTGTTGCATCCCTTTTCAGTTTGTGAAGAATGACAATTGTTACACTGTGGCAGATGTCTTCATTATCTTCCAAAGCCTTCAGTAATCCAAAGATGTCCTTATAGGTGGAGGAGTGGGTTAAAACAATAAACAAATGAGAAACTGTCTGACACAGAGCTTGACACTTTTTTACTTCAGATTTCAAGTTACATACTTGCATCATATGTATGTAAGTATGAATATATGTATGGCAACAGGAGCAATTGCTCCTGTTCTGGTGGCAGCATACACATCTGCATAGAATTAAGTTCCACCAAGAATCTTTTTTCCTTGTAATACTAGGAAAGTGATCATGTAATGTATTTCTTTTTACAGGCATTCAGATCCTAACAAGTCAATAGATTAGCAAAAATTATGCTTATGAGAGTAGCAGTGCTTTGACCAACCCTTTTGCTGTTATAATGTGCCAGCACAATACTGCACTATGAAGTTCTCACATGCTCTGCAATTTCTGTGTTCCTTACTTGTGAAATCTTTTTTAGGTAAAAGAGAAAAAGAAACAGTTAAAGAAAGAAGGCAAGTCAACCAATGTAGAAGAAGATGATTCAGAAGTAGTAAGTTGACCAGTTCATATTTCCAGGAATGACCAGTGGTGGCGAACCTATGGCACGGGTGCCAGAGGCGGCACTCAGAGCCCTCTCTGTGGGCACGCGTGCCGTCGCCCCAATCCTAGGCCTTCAGCTGGGTTTTATAAAACCTTTTCACTTTAGGTCTCCGTCACCGTGTGCAAAAAAAAAGAAAAGGTTCAATCAGTCAATTTCCACTTCTCGCGGGAAAAAAAAGATCTTGCAAAGTTGGAATTGATTGAACTTTTTAGTCCCACCCAGTCTGTCGTTACCACCGCAGCCACACCCATCCAATGGGCCACACCCATCCAATGGGCCACACCCACCCGGCACCCGACGATGCATAAGTGGGTTTTGGGTTGCAGTTTGGGCACTCGGTCTCTAAAAGGTTCGCCATCACTGTCCTAGACAATACCTTCATTTGGATCAATATTGGCAACACCTTTTGAGGAGCTTTGGTTTGATTCTAGACCCATAAATATATTTGCTACTCTTCCTCTCTTGCATTCTTTGTATTATATTTGATTACGCATTTAGTTATCAGTGCCAAACTAGAACATGTTTGTATTCTTAACATTAATAATCCTGCAAATATTTATACAATATTTATGTAACTTATTCTGGGATGTGCTAATGATATAATGTCCCAAACGTCTTAGATGAGAACAAGGAAAAAATGAAGTCCAGCTACCTTTTGGAAAAGCACCTTTGGGACAACTATGAGCTGGATATTGAGATTCTCCATAGACATTTAGTGATATGATGGTTGGTGGCAGGTATACCGTAAGGCAGGGCTCTTCAAACTTGGCCCTTTTATGACTGGCTGAGGAGTTCTTGGAGTTGAAATCCACAGGTCATAAAAGGGCCAAGTTTGAAGACCCCTGCCATAAGGGCATAGCACTTCCCAGTTGCTTCATGGTAGTTTGACTACATCTAATATACAATCTCAAGCCCAGCCTCTGGATTAGTATTAGTTTATTGGGATGTGTTCCTGAAGACAGCTGGTCTTTTTATCTAGGCTCAGGATTATGTTTTATTGAATTGTAGCTGAGCCTTAACATAAGTGCTGAATCTCTTGTTCCTTACAGTTCAAACAGGCAGTATACAAACAGACAATGAAACTCTTCGCAGAGCTTGAAATTAAAAGGAAAGAAAGGGAAGCAAAAGAAATGCACGAAAGGTAGGAAACAGTGCTGGATTCTTGCGGCTTGTATTGAAAACTCTGGGGCTAGACATTCTGATGTACATAAAAGAGCTCGATTATTGACAGTGACAGAAGAATACTTAAATGGAATTCTTTATTGTTATGCTAAAACATAAACTTATACAGTGAAGTATCTGGGGAGGCAGTCTCTTACTGAGGCTTGGGGCTGTGAGGGAACAAGCTGTGAATGGCTTGGACTGGGGTCTGCTGTTGTTAAGTGATGCCATGTGACATTGTACTTTCGACTGCATCATTTAGTGATGGAAATTCTGGTCCCAATACCATTGTAGCCATGAGGTCTACTTATACTCACTTTGTAGCACACGTAAGAAATAATAATTCTTCCATGTCTAGGTTAAACTTTAAGCTTCCAGAATGAAGCCACCTTCCTGGCTTCATGGCAAGCAGTGAGATCAAATAGATACAAAGTGCCAGATAAGCAAAATGACCATTTACAACAAAAGTAAATGTAGCACAGTGTTGTCAGCTCAATTGTGTAACACAAAGATTGTGATCATCTATATTGCTAATACATTGTTGAATGACAAGTGTAGTTGTACAGATTGTCAGGCAGTTTTGGGTATAGTATTGTGCCCCATGCATGTCGTAGGTGTTTGGTAATACTCTTTACAGATTTCCTTCCTTTACTTTATTGTGGGCAAATTCTGTCTTAAGAAATTCCTTGAGGCTTAAGATAATATAAGACTCTTTCATTTGTGTAATGCAACTTCCTTTAAGAAACAGAAACTTTCTTTGCAGCCCACTGAACAAGAGTTTGGAAATAGATATTGAATTGTGGTCTCCTTTATAGCTCCTCCATAGCTACATGTTGAAAAATGTAGTAATGAAAGTTGAGGGAGGGATGGAATAGGAGGAAATAGGAATAGGAGCGGTGTTGGGAGGGACTCGTCGCTCCCATGTAACGCCGCTGCTGCGCGAGCTGCACTGGTTGCCGGTGGCCTTCCGGGTGCGCTTCAAGGTGTTGGTTCTCATCTTTAAAGCGCTCCATGGCATCGGACCTGGATATCTCCGAGACCGCCTTCTGCCGCAGGTTACCTCCCATCGGCCGGTACGCTCCCACAGAGTGGNGTCAGCCAGACAGTGCCGGCTGGCGACCCCCAGGGGGAGGGCCTTCTCGGTGGGAGCTCCCACCCTCTGGAACGAACTACCCCCAGAGATCCGGGTGATTCCGGATCTCCCCTCCTTCCGCCGCGCCCTAAAGACATGGCTTTTCCAACAAGCGGGTCTGGCCTAGGGAATTTTAGCGGGGTTTTTTAGGGGATTTTTAGGGATAATTTTAATGATCGGCCTGTTTAAATATTTCTTTTTAATTCGGCTTTTAATTATTGTATTTGTATTGTAGTTTTTATGAGGCTGTTAGCCGCCCTGAGTCCCATGAGGAGAAGGGCGGGGTATAAATTAAATTAATAAATAAAATAAATAAATAATAAATAAAATACTTCTGTTAAATGTGTTCACATTGTAGTATCTAAATATTGGCTCCAGGGGGTGATCTATGTCTTTAGCCCTGGGAGGAGAGAATTCTTAGTTTCAGTTCCCCAAACCCTTGTTTTATGCTCTTCTTAAATTCTTAGTTCATCCTGTCTTTGGCTAAAACCAGCCAGGGAAGTCCAAAAAGCCATTATCTGCCAGCTAACATGACAGCTGTAATCTAAAACATAGGCACCAGATTGAAGAACACTAGATGAAATTGATTTGTGATCTCTTCTGCTCTGTCCAACAAACATAATGCTAACTTTTCCTCCCTGGGCTTTTGTCCTAGAAAGAGACAGAGAGAAGAGGAAATAGAAGCCCAGGAGAAAGCCAAGCGTGAGCGAGAGTGGCAGAAAAATTTTGAGGTAATTACAGCTGTGGAGCCTTTGGGGTTCCATTGGAGTTTCAGCAGTCCAATTTTAAAACATATATAGTAGTACCTTGTCGACAATTCATTCCAAAAGATACATTGAATACTAAACTCAATGGTTAGCGAGAAAGCCAGGTGACTTACCAGGTGACCTGCTATTTCAGCCAGAAGAAATAGCAAGTCACAAGGCAGCTGACATCAGCAAGTTCTTCCTTGCCCGTGGACTACCGGGAGAAAGACAAATGCCGGGAAAAGGTTTCTGCTTCAAAACACATTGAATACTGAATTCGAAGAGTTTTGAAGCAATCGAGTGCTAATATATGACTATTTTTTATAAAAAGTATCACACTTTGCCTGAGTAAAATGTTTGGGGTTAGGTGATTGGGATTCCCAAAACATGGGGATCATTAGGCATATTTTCAGTCATGATCATGCATTGCCGGCTCACATCGGGAAGTGGGGATTGCTCATCCTTTGCGCAGTCAGCCACAAACATCCTGATTGCAAAAGCCATCTGTCTGGTAAGGAGTTGCCTTATACGGAGATGGGTGGCATAAAAATGTAACAAATAAATAAAAATAAAGGTAAAAGAAAAGCGGTATGTTCAGGAATTTAATGCAAAGCCGAAGCAGGTCCTGAATTACGTAGCAATTTTCTTTCATATGCTGATAAAGTTGAGAAAACTCAGCCATAAATGCAGTTGCAGAAATGCCAAATCACGTACTTTGAGTCAGCATGGGTGCTCTTGGTATAACTGCCTGGCAATTTTTGCTGCAGCAGCAGTAGGAAGTGTCAGGTTAGTTCTTAATGGAAGGATCTTAACAGAAGCTTCTGCAGCTATCCAGGGTCTATCTCCAGCTCACATTGAACATTTTGAACAAAGTGCTGGAGGTCTAATGTATTCTAAACTCCTGTGAAAAAGCTTTAAAAATTGGTTGTCAAGTCTGGTATGTAAAGAGCATGCGTATAAACTAATAGTACTCAGTTATTTCAGGAGAAAGTTAACTGATATGGAGTGATTTAAACAGATGTGGAGAAGATGGGCATAGTACAAAAGTGGTATTAATTGTCTCGGGGACTGTCCATTTTGAGACAAGAGATTAAAAACAGCAATTTTGTTCTGGGGATATATGAATTTTCTTTCAACAAGCTTTTTACTAAGGTAGACAAAGACATCTCTTCACCATCTTACATTATTTGTGGTTCATGAGGGGTACAAGTCGTCCTCGACTTACAATCATTCGTTTAGTGACTGAAGTTACAATACTACTGAAAAAATGAGTTATGACTGTTTTCACATTTAGGAAAGTTGTAGCACCCCCATGCTTGTGTGATCAAAATTTGGATGCTTGGCCACTGGTTCATATTTATGACGGTTGCAGTGTCCCGGGGTCATGTTATCACCTTTTATGACCTGACAAGCGAAGTCAATGGGGAAGCCAGATTCACTTAACAACTATGTTACTAACTTAACAACTGCAATGATTCACTTAATAACTGTAGCAAGAAAGGTTGTAAAATGGTGCAAAACTGGCTTAACAACTGCCTCACTTAGGAATTTTGGGCTTAATTGTGGGCTTAAAAGTTGAGAACTACCAGTACTTTTGAACCAGAGAGAGGATACATGACACTAAAACATAGATTGGTTTTGGGTTACAGTCCCTCTATAGATTTATGCAAGTAGATATATGATTGGGCACAAAGATATTTGCTTGGATAAGAAAACATGTGCCTGTGTAGTGAGATAAGAGGGGCAATTAGACGGTAACTATAATGGGGCGGGATTATAAAGATAATGTTTTCAAAAATAAAGAGGCAGTATTCCATAAAAGTAATTTTTCTCTAGAGAATTACTTTGTGTTGCTTTCACAGAGCTTTGCTTACCTCCTAATATCTTATCAATTTTCCTTGGCCTTCTAAATGTTTATGGCTGAACTGACAGTTTCCCTGGGGAAGCATAGTTGGTTTAGGGGCTTTTAATTGGAAACTCCCCGCCTCCCAACACATTCTTCTTGTAGGGATATTTTCTGTTAGGATATTGAGGGGAAATGATAGCTGTATTCTCATTGTTGCTCTTGTTTTCCTGCTCATCCTCTTTGTATCCAGGAGAGTAGGGATGGACGCGTGGACAGCTGGAGGAACTTCCAGGCAAATACAAAAGGGAAGAAAGAGAAGAAAAATAGGACCTTTTTGAGACCACCCAAAGTGAAGATGGAGCAGCGTGAATAAGCTGGCTATTCTAGGCTCCTGTGGACACTTGTGTATTACCATGTTTAAGTCTCTCCTTGCTTTTCCAGTAGAATCTTTGTTTTCAGTTTGATTGATTGAATCTTGATCAGAATATTCTAACCTCTGCTTGATTCCCTGAGGTTCATGGTTGAATTTCCAGGCCAAACCTCCTGCTGCTTTTAGAATCCTTGGCTAACTTAGAAAGACACCACCATCACATGTACCTGTAATCCCTGTAATTTAATGTTCTGTATTTCAAGAGTATTGCTGTTCAAATGCCATCAGGCCTGCAGCTTGTGGAAGCATCTATTCAGTATTTCCAAAAGGCAGATACTGAAACTGGCCTAGTGGCTCGTCCTGCTCACCTCATCCAGCAGACCATTTTTCATCTCCTCTCACTTGCTCTGATGAAGTCTGGAACCAAGAATTGAGTTGCCTAGCTAAGCTTCAAGAGGAGTTCTCAAGTCAGCTGCATGGAGCTGATGGTTTTCCCAGCTCTAATTTCCAACTGTGGTCCAGGATTGTAGCTTGGTGAGCAGACAGTCTGATTACTAGAACCACCCCCACCCTCTGTAAATAAAGAAATGAATATCTTGCATTGTATATTCAGTTAGTGGCAATGTTCTCTATGTAAAATAAATTTTTACCCAAAAACATTTCATGGCAGTGCTCAGTTATTCCAAAAACATGCAGTTCATCTTTCTGGTTGAAAGAAACATGTTTTCTCTGTATCTTGGCATTCATGTTTGTTTATTCCTGTCAGAAGCATCACAATTAAAATAAGGCATACCATATTACATAAAATTTAAAATACAAGATTGAAATATATACAAATTAAGCAGATCTTGTCCAGAAACTAGCAATATTGTGTTCTGTTGCACTGTGTTATTATTATGTAGGTTAATATTAACCTACATAATGAATTACAATCTTAAATTGAGACCTTTCAGATGATTGGAATTGCTGCCTTGTACAATAGCTTTAACTACATCATGTGCTAACTATAAATAAGCTTTTTAGTCTTTGATCTGTCATCACAACACAGCAAATTAAGAATAATACATATTTGTTGGTTGATGCCCATTTTGGCATGTATTCCAGCTGCTTTTGTGATGGCCTACCAGTGAACCTTTCCTGGGGTTGCCACCTTTTTAAAATCCTTTTGTAAAATAAAAACCAGGGCAAACTAAGCTATCCTTACTCTGAATAAATTCTCAATCTCAGAGCTCTCCACCCCCCCATTCTGTGTCCAGAAGCTGTAATAGGATTAATTAGGATGAAGTTCCTATCTGAGTCTGGATGACACAAGAAATGAGATTTATAAAGTTTTATAAAGCAAAGACACAAAAGTATTACCTTAATTACAGTTTGGTCTATGGTCTGAGTTTATGTGATATGCCCAGTACAAGAACACTATTTGTTCATATATCGCAAAGACGAGGCTTAATTCTCAAATGCTTATTCTAAAAATTGCTGTTCTAATGAGGAGGATATTATACTGCTTGAATATTGATGCTTTTCAGGATGAAAACAAAGTTTGCTGAAATCCTAGTTTCTGTCACACATCAAGCTCTTGACCACTAAGGCAAATGCTGAGAGTCACCCTCAGACCGACAATAGAACGCTAAAGCATATCTAAAAATAACTGCCAAATATTTATGAGCTTTTCATGCTTTCCTGGAACACTACAGATCTCTTGGCCACTAACCAACATGCCACAAGAGAGGCAGCTTTTGCAATCATCTGAAGTATCTAGAAGAGGCTGAAAGTTATATATGATTCATCCGTTGCCATTTGGTAGACTTGAGGGATTTTCATTTTCTGCTAATATAACAAGGTATATAATGCGGCTACTTGCACATAAGATTTCAGAGGACGATAATGAACTGTCTGCTAATATGGAGGAAGGAGTAGGAGGAATCCAACTGTACCCTTATTTTACATGGTAACTAGAAAAGTGGGTTTGTGTAACACCCTAGGCCACAAACCACAATAAGTCACATTTTAGTCAGATTTTGTGCAGTCCAGTCTCTGGTTCAGTGTCATAATAACACAGCTAAGGATGATGCTGTTTTTCCACACTGGTCTATCTAGGATAAATCAGATTTCAGTGGGGAGGGGTACCCAGGTTGCCATCAGCAGCTTTGCCAGTTATGCTTAGTTGTCCACCCGATTTGAATGGATTCAGAGTTATCAGCTTAAGCTGTGGTTTGGTTAATTCTGACTAAATCACAACTGTTTGGATTTGCCCAACACGCTAAGCCGCAATGTGCTAAGACTCACCACTGTCATTTTCATGCCACATATAACTTTCTGAGAAGTTGTAAATCGCTCTTCCCCTTTCTTCTTCGAGCCTTAATGAGCTTTCCTGTCCAACTCCTGGACCCTTCCTGATTTTTCTCTGCACCATTTTGTCTTTTTATGCAATGTCCCCACTTTCCTTTTACAATATCACTTGCAAAAAGGCACACAGACAAAAGTTTGTTTTTTACAAGTTTGAAGAAAATCTTCTGTCGCTTTGGGAAAATAGAACTCTTGTTTTTCTACTGACACCAAAGTCAGCAATAGTTCAGCCTTTTGAAGTTTTCTTCACACAATCTAAAAGCAGCCTTAACAAGGTGATGAATTCAGCATACCTTATTGTATATCACAGAGTAGGTAAATTGGATCTTTCTGCATTGCTCCCAAGTGCAATAAAAGATCTGTAAACACTGAATTGCTCTGATCTTTTCCAAGCTACTACCTATTGAAAATATCTGTTTTTCCATTTTTTTTTTCTAATTCTTAAATGTCATTTTCTTCATGCAGCCATATCAGAATTCATTAGGTACTTTTGAAAAAGATGTTATATCAACTGATTTTGTAGGTAGCTACACAACTTGAGGTTGTAGATATTTTGATGACCTCCATGGAGCCTTAAAATGCACTTCTTTTTGCTTTTCTCAGCAGCAACACATCATTAATACAAGAACTTATGACTGAACCGTGTGCTCTCTGCTTCCCAAATGGGAAAGTACACTACAGAATTTAGTTTCCTTTGGTAGAAAAAGAATCAGGAACATAAAGTATAAATAGAGATAAAGAGGGTTTTGTTCAAGGCAGAGAATCCCAGTTTTCCAAGCTTTAGCTAGCTTGTTTCTCTTCTCTCCAATTAATCAAATTGGAGAGAAATTTCCAATTTGAGGAGAAATTTCCTGACAGTTAGAACAATTAATCAGTGGAACAACCTGCTTCCAGAAGTTGTGAATGCTCCAACACTGGAAGTTTTTAAGAAGAGACTGGACAGCCATTTGTCCCCCTAAACTGGGAGATCAAAAAATATCTCCCTACCAATCACACTGGGCCAATGTGGTAGATTATGATCCATAATCTTCAATTTAGAGGACTTCATTCTGCAGTGGATTGATTTGTGCTGATAATTACATGTGTTCGTGGCCAAACCTAGTTTATTCTATAAACAATTGAAACATGTTTAAGTACTCAATAGGTTATTAAGATAGTTTCAATAACCAGGAAACTACTGTATATACAGTATGTCCAGTTACTATTAAGGAAACAACCAGTAATTCTCCTTTTAATCAACAATTTCTCTAGCAAAAGAAAGCTGAGAGCCAGCCTGTTTCCAAATTCAGAATGAACATATAATTCGATGATAACATAATAAACTGTGGATTGAGGTGGCATAATAAACTGTGGTCTAGCTTAAGCCATAAAAATAATTTACAAGACATGAAAATTTGGATGGAAGCAACACCAGCCAAAACCCCAAGATTTTGGCATCCAGCCCAGTATTTCTGTGCATTCCAAGTTTCTCAAGTGACACAGATGGAATGTACAGTACTCAGAGGTCCCAAGCCTTAACCAGAAACTTATTAAAGTGTATTTGTTTAGAAGCCTGAGCTCACAAACTGGAAACTCTTTAAGTCAATTGAATATAACTAGAATGCTTATTGAGCAACTCACAATCATTTCTTCTTTTGCAGCATGGACACAATTTCACCAGTTGTCATGGGCACTTTATTAATCCTTTCGTGTGTAGCACATTCACAGGTAACTGTGGGGAGGAAAGTGAAGGGGGGCCAAATAATGACACATGTAATGATGACATCACTTAAATGCTGCTTTTATTTATTTATCACTAACTTCTATGCCGCCCTTCTCCCCACGGGACTCAGGGCGGCTCACAGCATGTTAAAAAACAACACAAAAAACATTTCCCCTATAAAACCGATTAAAAATCAAATATATTAATGGCTGTGTCATTATTAAAATCTTTAAAAAATTTTCCCTATTTAAAATTCACCCTAGGTCAGTCCCGCTTGTTGAAAAAGCCATGTCTTGAGGGCGCGGCGGAAGGTTAAGAGATCCGGGATCGTCCGGATCTCTGGGGGTAGTTCGTTCCAGAGGGTGGGGGCACCCACAGAGAAGGCCCTCCCCCTGGGGGTCGCCAGCCGACACTGCCTGGCCGACGGCACCCTGAGGAGGCCCGCTCTGTGGGAGCGTACCGGTCTGTGGGAGGGAATCTGTGGCAGAAGGCGGTCTCGTAAATATCCAGGTCCTATGCCATGGAGCGCTTTAAAGGTGGNCGGCCGACAAATGGTCTTCCAGTGTCAGCCGTGGATCCAGGAGGACACCCAAGTTGCGTGCCCTCTCTGAGGGGGCCAGAGTCTCGCCCCCTATAGTCAGCGATGGAGTCAGCTGACTATGCCGGGGCGCCGGCAACCACAGCCACTCGGTCTTGGAAGGGTTGAGTCTGAGTCTGTTCCTCCCCATCCAGACCCGTGTAATTGCATTGCGTGTAATTGCATTGCTGAGTGATTGCCATGTCATTTTGCCTTCATCACAGTTTGCTATGCATATTGCCAGATACTGACGCCCTGACGCAAAGCCATATCTAACATGTCACCACATGTATAGGGCCAGGCAGACATTCCCTAGGGAAATCTATTGTTGCCTCTAAATTTTGAGCCTTTCCCCAAAGAGCATGAAAACTGACATCCCTCAGGGAAACTTTAAAACTAGATGGGAGAAAGAAAAAGTGAAGGAATATTAAATCCTACGACAGCTTCTGAATGAACTCAGGACCAAAACTGCTAGAAACGAAAGGAAGGAATACAAAGTCAATTTGTGTGATCAGTGTTAAATAAGACATATGTTTATAAAATTCTGGGTACTTTTTACAGAATTTTTGTTGATATCTGGACAGACACATTAATGATTCATGGATTTGTGAATGGATAAGGGGTAGGCTATGGGAAGAAGTGATACCTGTATATAACCTTTTAGGGGTGGATAAATATTAAGTTAGTTTGTACTTGTTATGATGATCAGAAGTCATTTTTTAAAAAGAAGTTCCTATTTCTCTCATTTCTCTTCCTTTTTTCTTTGCACTTTATAGTTAATTTTTCCTATTCTTTTCCCTCTTTGAGTTCAGTTTGTATTATATTTTATTATTGCTAAAACCTTAATAAAAATCCTTAATAAAACTTTTTTAAAAAAGATTTTCCAGAGGATCATGGCTGAGGAAGGATCTAGGAGGGTATAAGTCTAACACGGGAGGATACCTGCCTTTCCTTAACTAGTTTGAATATGTTAGGTCTTTTTTCTTGTCTATCACATAATTGTAGATGAAATCAGTCATGTTACAAACAGACCTGGTATTTATCTTTTCTAGACACTTGGGGATATTACTGATGGAACTGCAGGTGGAGGTTTTGAACATTTTGAGAAATAGCTTCTCAATTCTTAAAGCACCAATGGTTCTGTCCAAAGGCATTGTGCAACTCCTGGTGCCTCAGATCACATTTGAATAACACTAGCAACATAATGAAGTTGTAGCTCCCCCCCCCAACCCCTCATCTCCTGACAACTTCTGCAATCTACATATGGCTACTTGGTTATAGGATAAGAATTTAGGCAAAATAAGAGTGCAAAAAGTCATGCGTATCAGCACGACTGATCATTCAAATAATGATTTGAAATGGATATTGTTCATTTCCACAGCTTGCTATGCTGAAGCAGCAGAATAACATTGGTTCTAGATCTGGAGGTGCTCCTGGGAAGAATAAGCCAGACAACTCTTCCTCGGTGCTAATGATGCAGATAATTCTGTTTCTCTCCCTAAAGCCCAAAGATAGAGATCTTTGAGCCTATCTGGAAGGTCACATCTTCTCCACCCATGCTATAAAAAGGCCCCTTCACAGAACTGTAATGCTGGCAAATCCCAATATCATATTGCCTTATTCCACGGATTCTGTTAAGAGTTCTGATAGCACAGGCAGCTACTCACAAAGACAGCTAATAAATGAATATGGAATGAATCAAAGTCAGAATTTATGGTAATTTCCAAGAAAGAAAATCAAAGTCATATTTCTGTAAACCAGCCCACACAGAGCAATGGATACTAAAAATATATAATTTCTCCTGAAAAGCATTCCTAGGAAGAGCAATGTTTATGTTAGGAATCTCTAACCTTTTACTGTAGTTCATGAAAACTACTTCTGATTAATGAAAAATATCTAGAGCTACTTAAGAATATATATTAATTAGACTAACAAATCTGGGCAACAAAAAACTAAAGGCTCACCGAGTAGATACAAATACTATATCGTGGTCATCTAGAGATATTTGCAGTCCAAACCTATTGAATGTATCTGGTTAGTGTATCTTTTGCCCTTTTTTTGGACAAAACTTCCCTATTACCTATAGTATCAGTTAGGCTAAGTTGTAAAACACAACTCATTAGTACGCATCAGGAAAAACAATGAAATCCAGATAAGCTTAAAAACCACTATAAACAAGTCCCAAACATGATTTCTGCCTCCAGTCATGCCTTCCAGCCTCCAAATATTGAAACTGAACTGCTTTAACTAAAAAGCTTGGAATGCAAAAATTCTCTGCTGAGAAGTTTTAACAAATCTTTTGTTTATAACATGCCCCCTTCTATGAAAAGAGCTAGAAGTAAATTTCTTTGGTGCAGAAGATACCATTTCCATCCATCTCTTGTGGTATAGAGTTGTTTACTTTTGACCCTGTGAGAGAACTCATTTTCATATTGGACTGCAAAAATCCAGAGGGCCATGTTGTTCAGACACTTCTGATTCTTCATGGCCCAGCTGACAAAATTTTGGCAGGACATACTATATGCCAGCAATTGTTCCTTTGAATCTTTGTAACCTCTTTTTTTGATTCCCTTGGGTTTTCCCGAGTATCTGAGTCTTCTCCAAATTATCCTTGCCCTTGAATTATATATCCAAAATATTTAAGCATAGCTTCATCATTAGGTCTTCTAGTCTGGTTTTACTTCATCCAGTACTGATCCAGTTCTCCTTCAGGTCCAGGGTTCCTAACAATTTTCTCCAGCAATGGGAAATTATCTCCATTTCTTTGAAAGATCCATTTTATCTGCTAATACACTCTTTTATCTCACCCTATGAACCAATTATGTTATTTCCTGCTTGCTTACTTTCCCCTCTTCCCACTGTTCTGCCTTTAGGTAATTATAAACCCTAGACAACCAGGTTCCTAGCATTCAATTTATTTCCTTGCTTCTCATGGCAATGCCCTACCAGTTGCTTCTCATTTCCTGAACTTCGCTATATCTGCCCACCCCCCATTACACTAGTACTCACTTGTCTCAGACAGTAAATATTCAGGCTGCCACTCCTCTTGAGAATACCTAAGCTGGAGTTTCAGATGCTGGTTACCAGTTCTTTAACATTTGACAAACATTAGTACATGCAGAACGACAGCTAAGGTTTTTAAAGGCTGTGTAAACATATACATGCCCATACAAATAAATAAAAGTCGACAGAATATAGTGCAAATTTCACAGAATCATTTTCTACAACCAGATTTTCTCCTCTGTATTTCTATTACATGCACCTAGCTGGGAGATCAGGCTATTGCCTGGATAAGCTATGTGGCAGAAATTAGGTTAAACTGTTTTTATGAATTCACCTAAGAGACCGACCACACCTTGCTCACTCATAGCTTCTGCTTCCTGCTATTACTGTTGAGAAATAAGTTCAAACAGTTGCAGAATGTATATATCATGCGCGTGCGCGCACACACACACACAGAGACAGACATGCAACCTTTGGGATTTCCCAGCACTTCTGTGGCATGTGGTATTACAATGGACTCCTCCTTCCACAGACGTAATACAGTATGATAATCTTAGTGTTCTCCCAAAACGTTTTTCTCCAGAAGAGTAAAAATAATCACAGTCAACACTTCTGAAGAAACCACACTGAAATAATCTGGACTTCCAGGACAGAAACATGAGAAGAAATTTACTTCATACAGAAGAACCTCGTCTCCCATGATCTGCTAGGCTAGAGGGATTAATTTATAAACCACAAACGGAGGTAAGTACCTTTTAATTTTATTTTGGAACCGATCAGGATCTCTGTATGGACTTCTTTGTATTTGCTCTCTGCTTGTTACATTGGCATATTTCAAATAATATGAGTGGAAGAAGCAGGGAAGGGGTGTAATGAAACGACAGGCTTCACTCTTGGATGTCCCACCTCTGGCAAGTCATCAAGGCCAGCCCAATATACTTTGGTACCTGAAAATTAGAGGAGATGGCATATTCCAGACTCAGAATCACACATTTTGGTAGAGTGATGGCACCTGAACCTCAGCAGGGGTGTGTTTTCCAGTATGAAAGGCATAGCCGAGACGTTTGAGAGAAACAGCTGAGGGAAGCCTTACTTGTCTATTCTCCAGCCAACCTCTGCCAAGGGAGGCAGTGGGCTATTTATCCATCTCATAAGAGGGTCAACATTCAGCCCCATCCTATGGACCTCTCTAGCATAAACCCCTGGACGGTAAGTTTTTCTTTGATTGGAAATGTTACATGCCACCCACTTCCTGCATAACTAGAACTGGCACTTGTTATTCATTGATAAAAAAAAAACACTCCCTATGTTAACAGAATAAATTAAATTACCATTCTGGCCCAATGCATGGGAGAAAAGTCAAATCCTTACAACTGTATAATAAAACATCCACGACACATTTTCAGAAATAAACCCTAACCAAATATAATTTAAAGACTTTGGGAAACAAATTATAACAATGAAGCAGCTCACTTCAGTGGCAATTAATCTCATAATATGGGCCCTGCCACGCACAAAGCCAACTTGGCTATGGATTTCAAGCCTTTCCTTAGTGGGATTCGTGAAATGTGCCATCCTAATGAGCTGAGACTGCAGGATAGATTGTATGGGAGCAGGTGATAAATGGCTTGGATCTATACTGTTAAATAAACCTTGAAATCCTATCCTTTCAAGGCTGCCTTTTGCTTGCTGTTTTCTTGTATTGATTATCCCCTTTTCTGATGTGCCTAATGGAATCATAACCTGGATTTTCACAATCTACTATCAATCTTATGTTTGATGCTTTTTGACAGCACAAGCATGAATGTTTGATGCTTTTTGTTTGATGCTTTTTGACAGCACAAGCATGAAAAATATTCTGTGTAACGAAGTCATCAGTAGTTGCTATCACAAAACCAGACCAGTGTATCTGCCTTGTCCCTCTTTTAAGTTGAATCTTTTATGTCTCATTCATGATTGTCTAGAACAGTGATGGCGAACCTTTTAGAGACCGAGTGCCCAAACTGCAACCCAAAACCCACTTATGCATTGTCGAGTGCCGGGTGGGTGTGGCCCATTGGCTGGGTGTGGCCTAATGGGTGGGCGTGGCTGTGGTGGTCACGGCAGACTGGGTGGGACTAAAAAGTTCAATCAATTCCAACTTTGCAAGATCTTTTTTCCCATGAGAAGTTGAAATTGACTGATTGAACCTTTTTTTTTTTTTTTTTGCACACGGCGGTGGAGGCCTAAAGCGAAAAAGTTTAATAAAACCCAGCTGAAGGCCTAGGACTGGGGCGATGGCGCACGTGCCCACAGAGAGGGCTCTGAGTGCCGCCTCTGGCACCCGTGCCATAGGTTCGCCACCACTGGTCTAGAAGTTGGAGAACTCTCCAACAAGACAGAGAACCTAGTTTTCTTCCAAGCAAGGGAGCCGATTTTTAAAAGGTCTGCCTATAGTCCTGGATCTTTACCTGTGCATCCCTAAAAGGATGGATCAATTATTCATGTGTAATGGAGGGGAGAAATGAAACCCTGCCTAAACTGTTAATATTTTCAAAAGGAAAAAAAAATCTAACTCCACTTGCATTCAATACTGGAAAGGACCTGATAAAGCTGCCTTGAAACAGGGCTGGGTCACACCTCTGTTGCCTGCCAGGACAAATCCATGGTGCATTTCCCATTCATATGTGCAAAAAGTTCAATGGAAGGACCATGTGTGTAACATCGGTGATGGAACATGCCAAAAGTCATTAACCTAGCTTAGAGAGCACAGCCCTTTCTTCTAAGTAAATGCCATTTGAGGTGACTTCCTTCTTTTTGCCAAATGATTTTCTATCAAGCTGAACCCAAGCAACTGCATTACACCCATTTTATTTTTTTTATACATCACGTAGCTGACATCATAGCTTTCTGTGCAAATAATTTTTAGATAAACTAATGTGGTGTATGTTTTTTTTTCTTCTGTTGAATTGTGTACAATTCAACTCTGAAGTTTTCTTGGCAAGGTTTTTCAAAGGTGGTTTGCCATTGCCTCCTTTCTAGGGCTAAGAAAAAGTGACTGGCTGAAGGTCAACCAGCTGCTTTTGTGCTTAAGGCAGGACTACAACTCATGGTCCCCTAGTTCTGGCCTGATATTTTAACAACTACATCTAAGCTGCTCTCATGATGCAATTAACAACTGCCAAAATGCACAAGGTGAACAAGTCTACTATGATCCGACTAAGCCTTCGATGATTCAGAATTTAAATTCAGTTTTACACACTGCATTCATCCTAAATAAGTTAAAGTAAATCCAAACTCCGTTCAGTTTCACACATATCATACTCATCAGTGTTGATCCCGTAGCTCCTTGGATCAGAAACATCAACTTCTACATTTACATCCATTTAAATGTATTTTATTGCCCATTTCATTCCAGATGGGGATAAAATATATAATAAGTGCTGTCTTATAGCTTTTTGTAGCAAGTTATCTTCCTCTTAAACTTGCTCAACATTTCATCTGTTTGGCAATGAGGATGACACACACATGGTTTCTTCATTCCCAATGACTATGTAGGTTTCCTGTGTCATTTTCAGTTGAGCTTATAGAATTCAGCATGTCATGAAAATGCTTCAAGTCACAGCATGTAAGAGGCATCGTTCCCACAGACTTGCCTTCTATTGATGGACATCGCTCATTACATTGTGGCCAAACCTTGGACTCAGCCAAGAACATTCATCCTTGCTGTGGTAAGTGATGGGTGCTTTTACAGATGAAATTATTTAAGTGTGCTAGGACTGCACCCAGCTTTTGTAATTAAGGCTTTTTCACCCCAAATATTGAGACGGACTTTATAGAAATATGCATATTGCCCATGAATTGTTTGTAGAGAAATACTTCATCAGGGAGTTAGGCTCAATAATGAATATTTTAATAGAAATAATTATTCTGATCATGAAATAATAGATGCCACAAATAAGCTCAGTTGCAAATTTTAGAGATTCTTGGTCAATCTATACTCAGGAGATCCATCCTTCCCTGCCAGCTGCCTTGTTTAGATTATACTCTTTCCGCATGATCAGAATAACCGTAGAAGAGAATGAGAAGAAGGCTATTGTTGTTCCTTCTAGCTTCAAATGATGCTAATTCACAAACAAATTGCCAGGAATCTCCAGGAACTGGCAGTGATTATGAGGATCTATGAGCCACAGTAGATATCTAACGATTCCTATTTGGATATGTACCTATGGAAGTCCTTCTGATAAAATTCCTTTTGATTGGCTTCTCTGGCATCGGTGCTATCTTTCTCCAGAAAAATTTATCATAAACAGGGAGGTCAGCTATGAGTTATCCATCACTATACCTATCCACAATGTCTTTGATAATCATGATATCGCAGACAGTTTTCAATGCGGCTTTTCAGGCATGCATCAAAACCGCTTGGCAAGATCAGAGCTGGGCAGGCAGAAATATGGAAGAGTATTTAACAAAAGATTAATCAATATCCATAATATCCTACCAGGGCACTGTTACCTTAAATGGCAAGTGCTTCTGCACATTTGGTTTTTTAGTGTCAGTATATGACTGATCTGTAAGGACAGAAGTAGATAGTTTGTAGCAACCTGGATTCTATACGGAAACCTTCAGTTCCCATGCCTTAAGTCCTATATTGTATTATAGGTTTGCACAGTGATCCAATTTATTGTAAAGTTAATTTCATTTACACAACTTTTGTTGTCATGGCTTCAATCACTGTCTTTCTTTCAATTTAGCAAACAAGAAGTTGTTACTATGTTGTATCCTGTTAGCATTCAAAATATCTTATTTCCAGTATCAGGAAGTTGAAGAGTCAAACAGACCAGGAAAGGATGTAACTGATTTTTTATATGAGTGGAAAACTGACAGTGGAATTATACTAAAAATAGAGAGTCTAATATCAATGAAATTATTATCCAGTATGTGGAATTACATTTTCACAAATTAAAATAATTGTGCTGGATCATGCCCAGAGAAGGTCACTAGTGTTGTCACTTAGTTATTGTAAATTCTGTGCATTCCTTTTTTTACTTTTAAGTTATTATCATGTGGAAATCTACCGAGCAGAGCCTAGTATAAAAGATATGTATTCAGAACTAAAGACTCCACAGTCCAAAGCTTTTCATTCTGGAATTGAACAAGTACACAATTAATTTTAGTAGCGTATTTGCTTTATTAGATTTATGCCCCATCTTTTTTTTTAACAACTTAAGGGAACGTGTACATAATTCTTGCTTTTCCTGTCTTCCACACAATCACAAGCTATAAGGGATTAGGTTGAGAAAGTAACTGATTGGCAAAAAGTCACAAAGCTGACTTCAATGCCTACACAAGGATTAGAACTCATGGTTACCTGGTTTTGAATCCATCACCTTGTGTGGGAATTAATATCTGGGAGAGGCTTGCAATTTCACTGCCTGGGCAGTTTAATCTTATAGTTTTGGATGCCAACCAAGTGGGGACCAATGCTCTAGAAGAGGGGTCTGCAACTTTGACAACTTTCGAAATTCTGGGAGCTGAAGTCCACAAGTCTTAAAGTTGTCAAGGTTGCAGACTGCTGCTCTAGAACAGCTATCCTGCCCTGGCCTATTGCAGATTATGGGACTCCATCATCTTTCCATCCGCTGCCACCAAAACTGATGATGTTCAGAACTGGAACCCAGCATTAGCAGAAAGGCATCAGGTTGGGAAAGGACGCCATAAGGTCAAAAGACCACAAGAGTGAAAAGAGGATCTCTTTAGCTTGGGTAAAGACAAAGTGACCTAATATAGAAAGTTTACAGCAAAAGATGCCAAGGGTTCTTGAATATAAAATGGCAGAACAAACATTCTTGTGGTTTCTGTTTCACCCAGTCATCAAAAAGATGGTACAAAAAAATGCAGCCATTGGGGAAAATAAACTAAAAATAAAAACTTTCCGTGGAAAGGCCAGATAAGGGCATAAACACTT